TAGATTTTATTTATTTATCTTTAGAGGGGAAGGGAAGGAGAGAGGGAGAGAAACATCAATGTATGGTTGCCTCCTGTGCGTCCCCTGCCAGGAGCTGGCCTGCAACCCAGGCACGTGCCCTGACTGGGAATCGAACTGCGGTTGTTTGGTTCACAGGCTCGCACTCAATACACTGAGCTACACCTGCCAGGGCAGAAAATATTATTTCTGAAAAACACTAGGGTTCAGTCCCATCTGTGTGAAGTTTCTTTTGCTTTGCCTCCAGAAAAATATAATGAATCTAAAAAGGTCCAAAAAGGCAACCAAACTGATGATGCAATATAAAACCTTGAGGACTCCCCTGGTCAGGTGGCTCAGGCGGTTGGAACGTCATCCTGTACACTCTCCCCATCCCTCTCTCCCCCTCCCCCCAACTCTCTCTCTAAAATAAAAAAACATATCCTTGGGCGAGGATAAAAAAAATGAGGGCAGAATCAAAAGATAAAGGTTCTTCATGGAGACAGACTGATACTATATAAGTATGTTTCCAACTTTGGAAAAGGCACCTTGGGAACAACTTTACTCTGGATGTCGATAGCAGAGGCCACATCCTGTGTTCCTATGGCCACACGTTCTCATATATTTATTAGAGATCATGACCTGTCTTCGGACATGATGTTCTGACATGTTTCTCAGTGCCTGGGAAAAGGGTACAACTAGCTACACAACTAGCTCAGGATGTCTCTGCTGGCTAAATAATACTTTGTGACATGGAGCAGAGATGAGGTTTACAAAGTTCTTAGCTCCACGCCTGGCACAAGCTGGCACTGATAAATAGAGGCTTTCATGATCACCACCCAGAACAGGTAAGTGATGGCTACAGCAATGTCCCTAAACATCATGGAGAGAAGGAAACCTAGCTGCTTCTTTTGCCAAATGAAAAGCAGTTGTGCTCAGTGGTTTATTATTTATACTAATATTCAACATTATGATTTTAAGTCATTTTATACGATGTAAGACAAAGCAAACAAGTAAATAGGTTAATGTTATTAGAAATCAAGATTTGCAGTATAAAAATAAAAGAAGCAAAGCAAAACCTGTAATATTAAGTTTGAATTAGCAATATAAATTTTATAAAAATACCTTTTCTAGTTCTGTCCATTGAAAGGACCTAAAAGCAATAATGTCCCCGTAGAAATCAGCACTCTTAATACAAGTCTTGGTTTCTAAATACCTTTCCACTAGTAGCTGAAAAACCAGGGATTCCTGTGGAAATAGCTGGGTCCCATGACTGAAATAGGAAACATACAAATTAAGCCTAGAATATCTAGTATCAGAAAACAAGGAAGTACTCAAAGAAAGGGGAAATAATTGACTATTTCTGCGTGCCTGTTAGTGGGGAATTCTTGTTCAATCTCAGGTGATGAAGCAAACTCTTTTTTACAGCAGAATGCTACTTAATAAATGTACTACAGTTAATAAAATTAGGAAATCCCCAATTTGTAATGCCCAATAGACTGACTAAAGCACTAAAACCATTAGGAGAAAATCTTTAGTGAACAAATATCCACAGGAAGGCCACCTATTATTTGTTCACTGCAATGGGGAGACCACCTTAACCAAGAGGTTAAATTCAGCATCACTAATGGTGGATGCTGTCTAAGATGATGCAATGAAAATTCCATAGCATTGCTTGGAAGTGTTCTTCCCAACATGTTTAATCTGAATCCAATCAAGCCTTTAGCCCTCACTTCCAGTTTACAGGAAACATATGGTACAAAGGAGAAAGTTAAACTAGATGATGAGAACATAACCAGAACAATTCAAACTGTGAAACATTCAATAAGACATCTGGCCTCTTAGTTCCAAAACAGAAAAGCATTAAAAAATGGTAATGTTCTAAATTAAAATATTCTCAAGAGACATTACAGGCCAATGCCTCAAACTGGATTGGATTCCAGTTAAGGGGAAAAATAAACAGCTATAAAAGACAATATGGACCAATTGGGGGAATCGTAAATATGGAACTTGATTATTAGAACATTTTAGGGATTATATTAGGAAATTGTCCATTTTCTAAGTTGCAATTGGTTTCTATGCAACGTAAGTTTCTATGGTTTTATAAGAGAATGGCATTATTAAGAGCTGTACAATAATGTACATAGGGTGTACCTCTTATGTATCAGATATTTTCAAATGCTTCAGGAAAAACCATATGCGCTGTATATCCATCAAATAAATATGGCAAAATATTTACAACTGTCCTATTTGTTCACACTTATGTTTGAAATTTTTATGTTAAAATAAAATAGTGATCAAGCTGCGAGGAGAGGGCTAATGAATATTTGGAGGTTACAGGGATTTTCCCTTCCACTTTTCCCTTGTTCCCCTGGGATAATAAGCCAGGTACCGGGCTAGGTACAGGAGATGCAGAGAGGCCTCAGGCAAGATCACAGCCTTCAAGGGATCTCACTGTCTAGTGGAGGAGAAATACAAACGCTTCAGCTCCATAGAGTGAGTGTGATGACAGAGGCATGCATTCATTCAGCAAATATTTAGAAAGCACGCCTTACGCGCCAGGTGCGGAGCTTACAATGAGAACAGGGCAAGCAGATGTGTCCCCTGAGTTCACGGACCTCATAGTCCAGTCAGGGAGACAGAATCTAGAATCGTAATTGTGGGTAAGCACATAAAACAGGCAGAGGGTACAGCAACACAAAGGAAAGGAAACAAATCCAAGGATGGGCTGGTCGGGAAAGAGGCAGTGAAGTTTTTGGGCTGACTAGAAATCAGCCAACCAGAGGGACGTAGAGGTGTGGCTTCAAAGGCCTGTAGACTAAAACTACACCCTGTGTTCCTAGACCGGGGAGGGGTCGGTTCTGTGGGAGCATGAACTGCTGGATGGGCAGGAAAGGAGGCAATGGGCTGAGGGAAGGCGTGGGTGGGTGCCATAGCTCCCCGAGCAGATTTAGGAACCAGGGCTGTCTCCTGCAGGCTCTGGGAGTGCTCTCGCAGTGTGGCGGCTGCTCCCGTGCCAGGCCGGGCCCAAACCAGGGACAGTGTGGATCTTGTTCTTGGCTGTATCTCCTTGTGCTCTGGATGACTGTCTGCTGGGCTCCGAAGGCTCCACGACCCTGAGGAGCCCCAGTGGGCAGCAGGAAATGCTTCTGACTGAATGCTCCCTGAGACTCAAGCCCCTGGCGCTGGGAGAAAAGGGTGGCTTTGAAGAGACGGTGTTGAGGATGAGGGCAGGAAGCCTACCAGAACCGAGGATCGTGTTCTCCGAAGTCTAATAGGGGATTTTTCCAGGACCAAGAAATAAGTAGGGCTTTAATCTCTGCTAATGGTACTATCTCAAAACTTAGCCCCAGGCCCTGGCCTGTGTGGCTCCCTTGGTTGGAGCATCCTCCTGTAACTGAAAGATTGCCAGTTTGATTCCCAGTCAAAGCACCTGCCTCGATTGAGGCTCAGTCCCAGGCTGGGGCGTGCAGGAGGCAGCCGACTTGTATTTCTCTCTCTCTCTTCCTACCCCTCCCTCTCTAAGGAGAATAAATTGAAATAAAAAAAACAAAAAACAAAAAAACTTAGCCCCAGGATAGGGGACAGCTTATTGCCAGTCACAGGCAAAAAAAAAAGTCAGAGGAATAAACCACTCGGGACTACTCTACATGGTCTCTGAAATTATTTGACTAGGTAACTGCCTTCTCCTCAAGGCTGTGAAATGCCAGTGATGATGGAGTCATTATTTTTATATTCGCAGTACTCAGCACAGCTGAATGAATGAGTCAGACTTTACAGTATGTATAGTGCTGATGGACCATCTGCTGTGACCCAGCTCTCCTGATCTATATTGTTGGGCTGGACTTTCCTCCTCAAATTTGTCTGTCTCCACTGAACTGTTCTGAATCTTTGGGCCCCTAAATCCAGACCTTCTCCGCTAGGAAAGGGTCAGCCAGTGACAGGGAAAGAGTTTGGCCTCAGCGTCCTTATGTCCTTGACTTGACTAGTCTCCCAATGAAGGAGATAGGTGCCTGCCACAGAATAACCCCATAGAGCCCTGACAGCTAAAAGCATATGCACAGAGTCCCAGTAGAGGGTTCTTAGTAGGTGCATGTTGGTATTTCCGAGATTGTGCAAATTCTGCCGTTGCCCTATTCTCATTTCAATGGGTACTCCATATTGTATCTCTTTTCAACAGCAGAAACAAAAAAACCAGTCCTCAAAGGCCTAGGCATTAGTTAGACACAAGACTAAGATCATCAGCTGATGACAAAGCTCAGGGCCCAGAGGCAAGGTTAGGTGATTTCTTGTGCGGCACCACCCATCTGCCAGGAACCCAACGCTAAGGCACAAGATGATGATGCAACAAGCACAGATGTCAGGTGGGGAGGCTGCGTCAACACGGGAATCCCCCAGCAAGAGAGGACGCAGGCAGCAAGCCCTAAACTGATCCCGATTCAGGGCAAGAGAGCTCTCTACACATTACATCACCCATCCTGGGATCCCATGGCAGCAACTGTCAGCTGCGCCTGGCCGGCCCGCACCCAGAGACTGAGGGAAGACATTTGGACGGATAAGCAGAGGGCAGCGAGGGCTTGCTGGAACCACTGGAAATCGGTCCGGGAGGGCGGTGCGCCTGTAGGTAGGGTTAAGGACCGAGCTGGGCTGAGCTTCCTAGAGGGTCTTTGGGTGAGTTCACGGAGAAAGAAGCTCCTGAAGCCCGCAGGCGAGGACGGCCCAGGAGGGACTTCCTCCAGTGACCCCAGAGCATGCCCATGAACAGACTTCTCAGCCGCCCGCCGCCAGCCCCGGGTGGGAGCCTTGGTGGGGTTTACAGAGCCTCGGACCAGGGCTCCAACAACCGTCAAAGCCTGTTCTGACAACGCGCGATGGCCCAGAGCAGCGTCCCCGGGGGCGGCGCTGATTCAAACCCCTGTGCCCACCGAGTTGTCTCCAAACTCCGGTGCGCAGGGACCCCGGTCGGCAGCTCCCACTCCGACCTGGCACGCTGCCGCGCCTACCTGTGCCCGCGACTCGGCTCCTCCTCGCTGGCACTGCCCCAACCCGGGCTGAGGTACCGAGCCGAAGCCCCCGAGCCCCGCGCCTCCGCGCTCTCCTCCTCGTCCTCCAGGTCCTCCGCGTCCTCGGCCTCCTGGATGGCTACGCGGATCTGCACCGCGGTCTCCGGCCCCGGCAAAGCCTCCTCGCCGGGCTGGGCCATGACTCGCAGGCTGGCCGGGACGCGGCGCCGCCGGATCCCCGCGCCTCAAGGCCGAGGCAGCCGGGAGACCGCTTCTGCGACCTAGGGGGCAGCGGCGGCCTGGGAGGGACGGGGGTCGCGGCGCCCCGCCCCGCGCCGCAGCCGCCACCGCCCCGGACGCAGACTCGAAGCCAGCGCAGGCGGGCCGCGAAGAGGGAGGGCGACTTCCTCTGCCCTCCTCCCACTGAGGCCTGTCCGGGAACGAATGCCTGGACCCCCGAGGCTTCCAGTGCTCGCCTCTGCTCGCGGGCTCCAAACCCGAGAGGAGGAGCCTGGGCTCAGGGTTCTAGCTGGTTCCTTTCACGGCTGCCCCGGGGAGGGGCGAAGTGCGTCTGACTTCTCAGTTTGTACATGACGCTAGGGGTGGCAGGCACTAACAGCAGCCTCCTGCGTGTCTCCGCCACTGACCTGCCGAGAGGACTGCAGCCTCGGCAGGCTGGTCCCTTTGGCATAACCGCCCTAAACTGCCCGTCCTGCGAGGTCAGCGGCTTGGTGCCCACGATGACCTATGCCAGTGGTTCTCAAGGCCCCTAGACCAGCAGCGCCAGCCTTACGTGGGAACTGGTTAGAAATGCAGATTCTCAGGGTCGATCCAGATCTGAATCAGAATCTATGATTCAGAACTTTGTCTCTGAACAAGACTTCTAAGTCATGCCGAAGCTCACTCAAGTTCGAAAGCCACTGTTTCTTAGAATACGTCCTGCATATAGTCAGCATTCAAATATTTGTTGAATGAATAAAGGGAGCTATTGAAATGGCAGCCTGTTCGAAAACCCTGCACCTTTCCACATTTAACTTTAAATGTGTTCCATCTCAACCCTTCACATGTGACCCAGAAACTAGGAACAAAGGCATAGAAATGAATAAAACCCAAATCTGCTTTCAGGAAGCTCTTAATATAGTGCCTTAAATGTAATTTATCACGTCAATTTGCCAAACTAGGACTCCGAAAGAACAGCACCCATGACCAATACGTTTTGATATAGGGAATCAAGTCAGGAGAGGCTCAAGAAGTGAGGTCTCTTGGAAAGCAGTGTGACCTTGTAAAAGAACACCATGCATGGCCCCTGGGTGTCTGGCCTGGGGCCAGGAGAGGTGCAGGAAGAACAGCCTTTATTTTTAAGGTTTGACGGCAACCTGTGTCCCTTTCTTTGTCAGCTCTCTCTCTTGATCAAAGAGGCCTTGGAATGAATAAGTGAGGGAAGAGCCAGACCCTGGAGCTCTGCACCAGCACAGCTCAGGGTCCAGGTTCTGAGCTACTGAGGGGAGCTAAAAGTGGAGAGGATCTTTTCCGTGTCAGCTGGCCTTTCTCCAGGGCTGCAGAGCTTGTAGAACTGCTACTCACTCAGTCCCCTCCCTGCTGCGAGGATCAAGAAGAGAGACTTGCAGCCCCTTCCATGCCTCCAGATCGGATAATTTTAGTTCGTGAATTTCACAAAGCAATGCATGTTCTTTCATGTAAACCATCTTGTGTGGCAAAGACAGCAAGGATCACTGCCCTTCCCCACAACAATGACTCACGTGCACCGATTTACAGTTTATGGAGAGTTCATGCGTACCTTATCTCAGGGTTTCCAACTGCCTGGTAGTGAGTCCTCTGAGGACTTTTCTGAAAACACAGACTCCTAAGTCCTCATAGTTTGAAAACATGCCGTTGGTAAATGAGTCTGGTTGCAGAAGTATTTTATTTGGTTGGAGTTTTGAAAAGTAAATTGAATTTATATGCCTTTAAGTTCAAATATATTTGCCTATACTGATTCTAATATTATTTACTCCTGACTCTTCATAAAAGAATTTTGGGTTAGAAAGGATATCAGATATCATGAACCCTAAGGTCCTCCTGTGAGGGAGTGAGTAACCCCAACAGTGCAAAGCCCCTTCATTGCTGGGCTCCACTGAAAGGAAAGATGATATAGATATAGGTATAGGTGTAAATACATAGACAGAGGTATAGTAAATAGAGATGTAGGGAGATGGATGTAGAGATAGAGACACATAGGCAGAGGTATATAGATATACACACACAATTTGGAGTATACTGTGGAATCAAATGCAAAATTTGATGGCATTGTAAAGCAACTTCACATTTGATTTGAGTAGCCCTACCCACACACCCCGTCACTGGTGTCACTGGTGAAGGAACCAGTCCTTTTAAAGAACGCTTCTGGTTTCCAGCTCCTTTCTTCACAGAGCCGTGGGTGGAGACTGAGGCCAGTGCCACCGGGTGTGTGTCGAGCATCATTGCGGGGAGTTTGTATCAGCATGGAGATGACTAGCAAAGCTTCTTTCCACAAAATTATGACCTCAGTCTGGAGCTGGCACCAGTCCCTTTTCTTGGAAGCTTGAGAGCTCATTTTTATACTAAGCTCAACATGGGAAATAGCTTTTTTCATTGCTTCTGAGAGTGAAACAAAAGGAGACATGTTGACAAGGCAGGACAGATTGAAGTTAGGTTGTTTTGGACTCAACTGAAAATATGTTTGAGTGTCCCTGGTACTAGAGCTTGAAACTAAGAACTTAAGATACTAACGTAGCAAAAATGAGGGCAGGCTGAGTGTTGAAGGCAAGAATTAATAACATAATAACATGGGGTAGGAGCTCAGGAAAGAGTCTGGTTTCAACTGTAGGTAAAGGGAAAATTTTATTTACTCATTTAATCACCTGCTTAGGCATGTGGCAAATACTGGGCCTGGTGCTGGCCTCAGTTTTGTAAAGTGAGGCAGACACACACAGTCCAGAAATACTGGGAGGTGGAGGGAGGCGGGGAAAGATAGCCTTTTACAGTAACACCTGCAGCAAACGCTACAGCAGAAAGCTGCACAGAGAGGCACAGCCAATGAAACCATGACCAAGGACATCTGGAAGCTTACTAGAAAAGCTCCCACACCAGCAGCAGAGCGTAGTGGGGAAAGCCCTCGATCTAGAATCAGATGGACCTGGATTCGGACGCCAGCCTCACCGCATCTCAGCTACATAAGCTCTCTGCTGTGTTTCTTACCTAAAAGGGTCCAAATGGTCTTCACCACATCAAGTTGGGGATGGAGACCAAACTAGATCATTTGTGGAGAATGTCCAGCTCAGCCCCTGACCCAGATTAGACGCTCGGTAGATGCTAGTCTACACTGCGATGGGGTCTTCCGAGAGCTGCACGCCAGGAAACTCTTCAATGGGGAACACAAACATACTAGTTATTGATACGTATTTTCTTCCATTGGAAATTGAGAAATTGGTATTTCTTTTGTCCATATGCCAAACTCTTATAAGTTAAGATGGGTTTCAGAGCCAATTTAATTCTGAACACACTGACAAAACAGAGGACCTCTCCAGGCAGGAAATCCATATCTTCCTATAGTTCACTTTTGGCTTCAATGAATGAGTATAAGGTGCGCATCCGTAAGTATGAGATGTTTTGTGGGACTTGTCCATCCATGTGTATTTCTCCTTTTTTAAATAATATCAGTCACCAGTTTCAAGTGAATATATAGCCGTCTAATTTCAGATTACATTTCCAAGCAAGCTGTGCCTATTGTTATAACCATGTGACTAAATTCTGACCAATAACATGGGAGCAAAATCTGAACAATCCACTTCTGGATTATGATTCTGGGAACTTGGATGTTCTTCCTGGCCTTTTTCCTCTACCTTTTGGCCAGAGCAGCCAAGTGGAACCCAAGGATGGAAGCCACATGTTACAGGTGGCATGGCCACCAAACAGGCTTTGGACTTATTTAGTGGACCATCATCTGGAACACCATCAGAGAAAAAAGAAACTCACACCTGTTTCACCCTGTATTTTGAGATATCATTCTTATAGCATCTTAGCCTCTATCTTAACTAAAACCTGAGAGTTTAGTAAATTTGAATGAAATAACCTATGGAAATACTTAGTTCAGCACCCAGGACAAAGTAGCCTCTCAGTAAATTGATGTTGGATTTTAATTTTTAAAACTTGACAACTCCATAACATTTATTGCATGACAAAAGTATACAGTTGTGTGCTGATAATGATGCAGGATTCAAAAAGGAGTAGAATATGCTCTCTTTCCAGGAACTCGTGTTCTAATGGGCCAATTGGACTCTGTATTCCTCCTTCTAATCCTTTACAAGAATAACATTACCGGCATTATCAGTGGAAGGCCAACCATTTCTGCAAGTGGCAGAAACAGTGGAGACTTCCCAAAAGGCTGCTATCTCCCACGCCCCTAATTTTGAAGTTTCCCTTGCCCAAAAAGTAACACTATCCCAACTTGGGCGCCTACCATTTAAAAATCACCCTTCACTGTTTTAATATAAATTCTTTGTGGCATATTAACAAATTGTGTTGGCACATACTTCAGAGAGAGTATTCAAGCTTTGTCTGCTCCTTATGCCTTGTGGAAAACTAGTTTACCAAGCTGATGGGGAGTGTTCACACATTGCAGGAAAGTGGGTTTTATTTGGGAGGAGGGAAGTTAGAAGAGGGCTAGGTCTAGGACAGTGTCCAGAAATTGCAGGGATAAAGGTGACTAGCTGAAATGCCAAGAAGCACAAACAAAGATTCTTATTCACTTATTGAAGAAAATCCTGAAGAACTTGCACTAAGTTCGACCACACAGAGCAAGAGAGCCCCCTCCACTCTCTAGTCAGAAAGCTGAGCCCGTCCCTGGTCCTCCATCACTAGGCAGACACACAGGGTGAGGGCGCTATTGGGTCAGAGATTTTGCACAGTAGACTCACCTGGGGAGCTCTTACAGTAAGATTGATGCCCAGGCTGCACCCTGACTCAGTTAAGTTCTCCGCGTGAGACTCAGGCATTAGCATATTTCAAAGCCCCCAAAGTGATTCCAGCATGTGGTAAAGGTTAAAAATCTCTGTGTTGGATCGTTCAAGCTCACAATTCTCCAGACCCTTCCCACCAAGTCCAGAGAGTGGTTACTGGCTCACTTGGTATCCAGGAGCAAATCACTAGAACGGTTCAACCCTAGTATCTTCCTGGAATTTACTGAGAGATTGGGTGACTTAAAGATGAATTTCTCAGTTGCACTACTTCTCAGCAGTAACAGGCTGCAAAACGAGCTGCTGCAAATTGTATGCAAGGTCTGCACAGCACAAGGATGCTTGGCAAACGGGAAGGGGATCTGAAATTACAGCCTGAACTCTGCTCACCAAGTTGTCACGCTGGCCTTGGACTTGGTGCAACTAAAGGGGGAAGAGATGCCTATTTCTAACTCTCAGAAAGGGGCTGAAGGGCCAATAGTGTC